CTTTAGTAGGTGAACTGAACAATACATCAATCCAAAGATTTGGATTCAAACTGGATTGGTGGTCAAATACGAAACAACTAAACGAAAGTTCTGGAACATCTTCTAGCACAAATAAGAGGCCCTGGCATTCAGAGCCTGGACCCATAAACTGTGACTGGCCACCCTGTGGTTGATAGGAAACCTATGTAACAGCATCAGTTCCTTCCATGTTCTAGGGCTGTGCCAGCTTGCGAGCAAGGAGCCCTTTGCCTGCAAGAGGCAGCTGCTGCACCCCACTCTGCCCTCCATCCTCCTTACTCTGCAGGAGGCCCTCCCCCAATGTGCCTTCTCTGCCTTAAGTACAGCATTGTACTGCATTGATCTGTGTAGCTGAAAGCTCGGGCCCTACATTCTGATCTACGAAAACACTTTCTCTGTCTCTGCTGTAAACCTCATCAGCCCCTGCTCTCCTGGTACTGTGCAGCATCAGCCCCTGCTCTCCTGGTACCGTGCAACATCAGCCCCTGCTCTCCTGGTACCGTGCAGCATCAGCCCCTGCTCTCCTGGTACTGTGTAGCATCAGCCCCTGCTCTCCTGGTACTGTGCAGCATCAGCCCCTGCTCTCCTGGTACTGTGCAGCATCAGCCCCTGCTCTCCTGGTACTGTGCAGCATCAGCCCCTGCTCTCCTGGTACTGTGCAGCGGATACAACTTGATGACAAAGGGTCTTCTTTAACCTAGTTTTTAAATTAATTTTTGGGATAGATATCTTGACATTGTCTCCCAGGTGGTCTGATGGAGGCACTGTTAGCTTTTTCTTCCTACTCAGAATTGCTGGTTCATGAGTTGTCTAGGATGGGGACTATTCTACAAAGCACAGACAGGGCTTAGTCATGGGAGAGCCCCACTCCCAGTCCTGTTCTATGTCACCATCCAGTGAACTTTCCGTTCCCAGCTGAGCATTCAGTACCTCTGGCATAAGACACGCATGTGGCCAGGCAGTGGTGGCGCACGCCTTTAATCCCAGCACTTGGGAGGCAGAGGCAGGCGGATTTCTGAGTTTGAGGCCAGCCTAGTCTACAGAGTGAGTTCCAGGACAGCCAGGGCTACACAGAGAAACCCTGTCTCGAAAAACCAAAAAAAAAAAAAAGACACACATGTGGTTCTTACCTGCACAAACCTGCGTGGATCGCCTGCTTCTCAACCACTGTGGGGACATCTCTCTTGTGGCCTTACAGTAAGTAGGCTTTCTAGGTGGTCCCTGATCTTTTGTAACCTAAGTCCATAGAATCCTTGGACCCCCCCCCCCCCAGGCAGGCACTTCCCCTTTTTTGGGAGCGCGGATGTTCTGAGCTGTACTGCCCTGTCATATTCAGTCTATCACCAGCACTATGACAAGTGGCTTCTGTGTTTGTGTGTGTGTGTGTGTGTGGGGGGGTGTTTCTAATGTTCACCTTAACAGTTTTACCTTCCTAGATCCAGGACCTGATCTTCCTGCTTGTTTTCTCCCTTGTGCCCCCTGCTGGAGCCAGAGGGAAAAGCCCTTAGTTCCTTCTTCCTCTGGCCTTCTAGTTTGTAATTGACCCAGATGCGGACCTTTGAGGCAGACATATTCAGGAGAGAAAAGAGGACCCAACATGAGAGAGGTGACTCAGTTGAGAACATCCACCTCAGTTTGTATAGTTTTAGGAGTGAGGAACATATGATTCTGGAAAGTCAGCCTATGGATGTATGTGGCGTCTGCATCTCACCTTTTTCCAAGGTCCCTCTCGAGGAGTGACCTCAGTTGCCCTCCACTTCCTGCTGCAGTACATTCACCCACCCCCTCTCCAGGCGGCATCCTTGCCTTCTCTCAGCCGTGCCTCCCCCTCCAATCGCATGCTCAGCTTTTATTCTCGCCTCCCACTCCCCCCAGCAAGTAGAGCAACCGGGGAGAAATTCCTGCCCTGGCTTCTGCTACCATAGCTGCCCACCCTTGCCTCACAGCCCCCAGGGCACCTCCTAGCTGCTCCTGCCGGTGTCCACTGGTGCCTTGGTCAAAGCAAGTCTGTCCACTGGCTCAGTGTCCCTGTCCCAGCGGCACCTCCTTCCTGCCTATACTGCCAGTTTTCTTCTGTGTCTGCCCCATCTGTATATAACACGACACACCAATCTCCATCTTGAAAAGCCCGTCTCTCCACCCTCTCTTCACCCCCAGCTTCTGTCCCTCACAGCAAGCCCTCTGGAGACCCTGCTATGGCCTCCAGTCTCCCACCAGCTCTTGAACTCACTCCCATTCAGCCTTGGCCGATGCCTCTCTACCCATGTTGCTGAACCCAATGCCAGCCCCAGGTGCCCACCCTGCCCTAATGCCCACCCCTGGCCCGAAGACTGGGGCATCTCCTGTGCTCACCCCTTTCTGCCTCCTACCTAGCAGTGTGGATTCACACTCCTAGTTGCTGTTTTTCCTTTGTGATCTTGTCATGATGTTCCAGCCCTTGGGTCCTCTTGTTTCCCTGCATCCCCGTGGCTTCGTCTGGATACTGGCTGGAACATAGCACCTTCCTGTGAACTTTCAGTCTTGTGTTTCAGCAAAGGTTCTTCTCTGGACTCTATATGTTGTCTCTGCTTCCTATCTTATAAGCCAGTGGTTCTCAACCATCCTAACACGGAGACCCTTTAATGCAGTTCCTCCTGTTGGAATGACCCCCCCCAAACCATAAAATTACTTTTGTTGCTACTTTATAACTGTTACTTTGCTATTGTTATGAATCTTGCTTGTTTGCTTTAAGATGGGGCTTCTCTGTGTAGCCTTAGCTGTCCTAGAACTTTGTTGATCAGGCTGGCCTCAAATTCAGAGATCCAGTACTAGGATTAAAGGCATATGTCACCATCCCCCAGGTCTGTTATGACTCTTAACATAACTATCTAATATGCAGGATATCTGATATGCAACCCTTGTGAGGGAGGGTTGCCACCTACAGGTTGAGAACTACTGCTATAAGCCCCCCTTATTTTTTTTGTTCCTTGGATGGCACAAATTAGCAGATCCAAAGCCATGCTTCTGATTTATCTGCCTGCCTCAGGTTGTTGGTCCTGCAACAACTTGTAGCTCATGGGATCAGGTCACCCCAGGTTGTCAAATGTTGAGAGAGAAAGAAGTTAAGCCAAAAGTGAGGAATCTCCGGGAAACTGAGGCACAACTTTCTTTGTAACTCTTGGTGCGTGTGTGGAGCACATGTCCCACAGCTGTCCCACAGTTTGAGGAAGCAAGGTCATTGATAGAGTTCCTCCTTTAGGTAGAACCAGAGGCCAGTGGCCTCCGACCTGAACCCTCCTGCCGATCCTCAGCCCCGCAGCCCAGTTCTGTCTGTATCCTGTCACCCTGCCTGCCTGTTACTCTTTGTGTCTCGTCTCCACTGGCTGCCGCCTCTGATTTCTCTCCGCACCTTGACCTGCCTTTACTTCCAGTATGGCTATAAAAAGGATCCACTTAGGACCAAGTCATATCCTCTCTGTGCTTTGCTTAAAACCTACCAGCGTCCCACACCTCACTGAGGTCAAAGTGCACAGTGTCTTCCGGTATCCATCCTCCCACCTTGGTGACCCCCCTTGTACCGCTTTCTCTTCAGCATGTGCATCTTTCTGCTACCCAAGCACATACCTCAGGGCTATCGTACCCTCTCTTCCCATTGTCTGGAATGTTCTTTCTGGTGTCCAGAGATGTCCAGAATGTCATATGTGGTGGCCAAATCTCTCACAGATGTGTATCTAGCTCACAAACCACCTCTGTGTGTGTGTGTGTGTGTGTGTGTGTGTGTGTAGTGTATACATGTGGATGTGTGTAGAGGACAGAGATGCCGGAGGTCTTCTTCAACACTTTATGCCTTACTTCTTGAGACGTCTTTTCTAACTAAACCCACAGCTCACCAGTTTGGCCACACCAGCAGCCTGTGAGCCTCGTCTCCTCAGCATGGGGATCACAGGGCAGTCTGCCATGACTTTTTTCTTTCTTTAAACATTGGTTCTTGGAATTAAAACTCGGACCTTCATGCTTGCATGGCGATTTCTTTAACAACTGAGCTATCTCTCAATCCCTCATTGAGCCTGTAAAGGGGTGTCCTTTATCTGTATTAAATGTCACCCCCCAATACCTGTCCCTGTTACTCTATCATTCTGTTTATCCATCACCATCCCATCTCAAATTTCTAGCCTAGATTGGCTCCAAACTTTGTGTAACTGAGGATGACCTGACTTCCGATCCTCCTGCCTCCACCACATCATCCTGAGTCCTGGGATTACAGATGTGCACCACCACACCTAGTTTATGTGATTCTTGGGACGGGACCCAGGGCTTCACGCATGTTAGGCAATCACTCTACCAACGGAGTCACATCCTAGCCTGGTTGTTTTTCTGTGTCACCGGATTCTCTGGCGTCTTATTTACTTGTCTTCTTTTGGTCTGTCCCTGGGTTCTGTGATCTAGAACAAATATTTCCGTTGTAATTTCACTGCCACCTTCTTCAAGAGGCTGCAAAGCAAAGAGAATAAGATGATACACATGCCCACAAGGTGACAGCGAGCAGGTGTGCTTGTGATCTGTTGCTCCTGCATGTCCTGTGTCCTGTCCCCTGAGGAGAAGCTGTGGGGCTCTGCCTGATGCCTGCAAATGGCCTCACCACTCTGTTTCCATCTGACCTATAAATGATGATGGTAATGGTGGTGTGAAACCTAACCAGGTGATGTTGGGGATCCTCATGGGGTTTGGCACATGGCAAATGTCACATGAGTGTCTGAAGCCACTGCGTCCTTCCTCAGTGTCAGCCATGAACCTCTGACCGAAGGGACTGAGGTAAGACTACTCTCTAAGGAAGCCTTTGGTACCCATTGGACCAGGCTTTGCACCGTCAGCATCTTGGGCCTGGAACCCTCAAGCCAGCACCTCTCTCAGCCTCAGTTCCCAAGACCACCTCTCCTGGTCCTGAGGGGAAGGGCACCCTTGAGGGTGACCGCTTCCCAGCCTGATGTCCCCCTTTCTTCTAGCTTCCTTCTTGGACATCTCCCCTACTTTTGGAAAAAGGACGAAGCTTGTGGCCGGGTGCTCCAAGACGTGTTTTTGGATTGGTGAGCCCCAACTTATCTCTTGTTTTTACCCTGGGTTCCTGAGCAGGAACCCCATTCTGTCTAATCTCCTTCCTCAGAAACTCTCAGTCTGCCTACCCTGCCCCAAGGCACTCCCTGTGCCTCCTCCCAGGTAACTCGGTTCCTCCCAGCTGGGCACGTCCAGCACCGACCTTACCCAGGTCGCTCCTACCTTAGCGGCTGCCCTGAGCATAGAGGCAGATAGGGATGTATGAAGCCACGAGTTTCTGCTGACCACCAAGGAGCCTTAGAACAGCTGTTAGAATCTCTGGGCCTCAGTTTCCTCTTCTGCAAACTGGCTTGGAGTGCAGGTAACAGATACTATTTGGGGTGTTATTTTCTGCCTTTCAAAACACTTCCGAATGTCTGATATTGCTTCATTCATGGCACCTGCCTTTGTGGACAGAGGATGGTATTTCAACTCTTGTTTAATGGATGTGGAAAAAGATCTAAAGGGGGTCCTGACTTAACAATAAGTTGACAACAGAGAAAAGACCCCAATCCCAACTCCCATCCCAGGTCTCCTGGGCCCCAGAAGAAGCTCTCTGACTGGGGCTGAGTGTCTCTTGGAATGGGATGTTTCTGCTATTCCTCCTGACAGTGAGACCCCACTGAGTCAGGAATGATGGAATTTGTGCTTAGAGGGAATTGACAATCACTTTGGTTCACCAGGGCTAAGAAGTATGGTCCTGTTGTGAGAGTCAATGTCTTCCACAAAACCTCAGTCATCGTCACGAGTCCTGAGTCTGTCAAGGTAGGAGACACATCTGTTGCCGTATCCTCCTTTCCCTGGTTTATGGGTGACACTGGGCCCAGGCAACTGATACTGCTCTTCCAGTCGGTCTCCTTTGAATCCTCTCCCCTCATCTATGACAGGCGTCTCTGTGTACTGTAGCCACCATGGGTGCTTTTAATCTTCCCAGAGGTGGGACTTAAGTGCCCCCTTGATATGAGGAGTGTGGCCATATTTGTACCAGAAACAGGCACCCATTAGCAACAGGAATGGACTCAAATCTGAGCACTGACCTGGGGCAGGTGGCATCATTATTTTGTACCTCAGTTTCTTTATCTGTAAAGTAGGAGTGATGGCCTCTTACAGGCTTAAGAATGGGGCTGAACTGATGTGTGTGAGTCCTCTAGTCCGTGCCTGGCACACAGCAGCATTTCAGTAGATGATGCTGATACCACAGTGGACTTGTGGGTGTGGCTCCCTGCATGCAGGATAGCTGTGGTGACTCAGTGAGAGACAAAGTACAACTCAGTGCAACTCGGGATGTGTGTGTGGGGGTGCATGTGCCTGTGTGCATGCCTGTGTGTGTGTGTGTGTATGCACGGTTGCGCATGCATGTGCATGTGTGTGCATGTATGTGTATATTTAAGATTTATTTTTAACTGTGTGTATCTGCATCTGTATGTGGGCATGCATACGTGAGAGCACGTATTGCAGAATCTAGAAGATGACTTCTGTCCCTAGGAGCTAGAGTTACAGGCATTTGTGAGCCACTGGTCTCCAGTGCTGGGAATTGGACTCAGGCCTTTTGTAAGAGCAGTAAGTGCTCTTAACATCTGAGCCATCTCTCCAGCCCAGTGCTAGTGGGACTTGTTCTGTATTGTTTTGGGGATACTGGGGATAGAACCCTAAGGCCTGGGTTCTACAAGGGTGCCACCACTGAGCTCAACCCCCAGCCCTAACCTAGAACTTCATGGACAGATTGTAGAGTCATGACATCAACAACAAAGTTAGAGATCACTTAAAAGGTATGAATTTGTCTGGTGTGGTATAAACCTCTAATCCCAGCACCCTTGGACCTGGAGACAGTGATGGGGGTGGGGAGCGCTATGAGTTCAAAGACAGCCTGGCCCACATAGTGAGTTCCAGGTCAGCCTGAGCTACAGAGTGAGACCCTGTCTCAAAAAAATTTTTTGGGGGGTGGTTATTGTTTGCTTCTTTAAAGAGTGCCAGACTTCAGGTTGACAAGTGACTTGCTTGCAGATGAGCTTTTTCTAGCCTTGCTTGAAGGTCTGTAGTGTAGGCTAGACCAGTCTTGACTCCAGCCCCTCCGAGAGGGAATAGCTACCTGCAGCCTCTCCTGAGGGCTTCTTGTCTGAGGTTGGTGTGTTCTGGCAAGGGCTACTTCAACCACCTGTGGTTTGTGTGAACTCTGAGACCCTCAAAGCTGACAGCTGCCCATTCATTCTGCTATCTCAGATCATGCAGTGTCACCATGTACACACACACACACACACACACACACACACACACACACGGCGTGCTCATACAGTGCTCAGGACCTCGTGCAGAGGGCTCTTTCTACATATAGCTCCCCTCCAGGACGCTGGCCTAAAACTGCCAGCCTCCCGCAGCCTACCTGGAGCCTGCCGTGTTTCTGCCCCACTTAGCACAGCTGCTGGGCCATATCTGGGTCTCCATTAGTGTCCTTGTCCTGGAATTGACTGGGCAGAAAGCTAGAGTAGCCCTCAGTCACCATGTCCTTCCTCGCCTTGCTCTTCTGTCCTTTCAGTACACGTTGGGACGTGATGTGTCCAAGCATCTGACACTAGACACTCGATCCATTTCCGTTTGCCCAGTTTTGTGGCTCTCTGCAGAATGAGAATAAGCCCTTAGCTGTTCCTGCCTCCGGTGTGGCATCAGCAGAGGCAAGCAGAGGAAGGGGTGAGGTGTAAGGGGTTCATTGTGTGTCTCTCTTACCCACTAAACTAAGCTCAGTGGTCATTCCTGGATTCCCAGCCTGTGGGACAGCAGGTTGTGGGAGATAAGCTGGTGGTGGCAGTCAGTGGTCGAGAACTCTCACCTTACCTCAGTGGTAACTTACCTCAGTGAGAACTTACCTCAGTGGTAGGAACTCTCATTTAGTTGAGGAGGGGCTTATGATGTAAGGGAACTTTGAAAGTGGCATTTGCTATCATGGTCTTGGCTGGGTGGGGTGATGGCAGAGATTGATTTATCAGTTGGGGTTTGTGGGGTGAGGTTGAGGTCCCTGGGGTAGCTTAGAAAGCAAAGCCACCTCTGGGGTTTCCTTTTAGCTGAAAGCTTGGTTTGAGACCCCAGAGTGGAGCCTACAGGAGCTAGTAGCTCCAGTTGTAGAGAAATTCCCAATTCCTTCCCAGGGCTCCAGGATCAAACTTAGTCTCAGACTGGGCCATGTGGCCTCTGCTGCCTACCCCACTGTCCCTAGGATATGGATGTCCTTCAGCCTGGAATCTGGCGTCCTCTCCTCACACCTGGCTTCAAATTGCCTATTCAAAAACCTGTGTCCACCACAAACATTACCTTGCTTCCGTTTTTTTTTGTTTGTTTTTGTTTGTTTGTTTGTTTGTTTTTGCACAGAGTCTAACATAGCCCGGACTGACCTCAAACTCACTGTGTAGCCAAGGACGACCCTGAACTTCTGATCTTCCTGCCTCCCTCTCCAGTGCAGGCATTACTGGTACCCATCACCATGCCCATTCTATTCAGTGCGGGGGATGGATTCCGTGGCTTTGGGCTTACTGGGCAAACACTGCGAACTCAGCGGCATCCCAGATCTCTTGTGCTAGTTCTAAATCTCTGTTTTTCCATCCATGTGTAAGATACATGTAAACCAGCATGGATATCCAAGGGTTGACGGGCAGGGAGTAAACCACAGGCTGTTAATGTGCACTTGGCACTTACTGAGCACTGGCTGTGTACCAGGCGCCATTTTCAGCTCCTTTGCTGCAGAAGATCCCTCACTACAACCTGGAACAGGCAGGCACCCTTTAACTGCCATCGTTGACAAGGAGCACCAGGGCCAGAGAAAGAGCCTCACCCAGGGCTGTGGAGTCAGCAAATACGGAGCAGGACGCCACACCCTACCCAAGTCGTTCTCTCTGGGCTAGACTGCCTCAGAGGCTGTTGGGTAACATTCATATTGAGGTTGACATAGCTTTTGAGAGGTGAGATGGCCCTTCCTCCACAAAGCACTCCTTCATCGGAGGCTGGCTTGGGACTGTTGACAGCGAGCCTATCCTGAGGGTCTCTCCTGTGTTTCAAAGGCTTCACAGCAGTGTGGGCCACTTTCTCATGGCTTTGGCAGGCAGGGTGTCAGGTCCCATGCCCACTCCAGCTGTGTGCTCATAGGACAGTCCCTTGGTACCTTTGGATCCCCTTCCTCATCCCTCTACAACTGCTCTTGCTTAAAGACAGGCCTCCTGGTATGTGGCCAAGAGTCCACTTGGCCATATACCTGTTATGTTCCCTTTGGGGCTGGGGCTTGGCTGGAGCCCATGTGCTGAGTGCAGCCTCTCATGGGTTGTGTTCTTTGGGGGGATATTTAGAAGTTCCTGATGTCCACCAAGTACAACAAGGACTCCAAGATGTACCGAGCGATTCAGACCGTGTTTGGGGAGAGGTAAGGACCGGAGGAAGGAGGACTCCATTGGGAGCAGAACACATGATGACTGCCCTGTGCATGATGGCCCTGCCCTCGGGATTGGCATTCTTTTTCCTCTGGAGGCAGATGGGTCATGGGGAGTGTTGTTGATGCTGGGACATAGGGTCACCTTGCTTTATATATGGCAGGTTTAGGATACACAGGATGCTTTGAAACACAGGTCACACTTCCTCTTTATCCTGCTAAACGGGCAGTGTCACACTTATTCTCTTACCCACACCGACACCTATGGTCTGGCTACATCCACGCCGTGAAGTAGCCATTACTCCACCAAGTCCCAGAGCCTTTTCCTCAGCCCTGAGGTGACCCCATGCCCACGGAGCAGTCCTTCCTGCCTCCCACCTTCTCTCTGGCACCCAGTTCCTGTCTCTTGCAGACTGTTTGGCCAGGGCTTGGTGTCTGAATGTGACTATGGGCGCTGGTATAAGCAGAGAAGAGTCATGGATTTGGCCTTCAGCCGCAGGTGAGTGTGTGGGACGGGCCCGGCCCTGCCTGGATGGGGTACTGCTGGCTGGAGAGGGCTCGTTGGTGGGGAGGCCTCATTCAAGGACCTTACCCAGATGAAGGGAAATTTGGGGACATCAGAGGTCAGGACTTGGGAGGCAGAGGCAGGGAAAGTTGAGGGAGGAGGTCCCTGTATGGCTGGCTTGGGAACATTGAGGGCTGCATGACCCCAGTGACTAGAGGTAGAGACGAGGACACAGCCCCTACTATCCAAAACTGCCCCCATGCTGACTCTGGGTCTCTTATTTCATTCATTTTACTTTTAAATTCTTGATGGTGCCTTATTTTTTTTTAAAATAATCCTTTTATTGAGTTATACATCCCATTCCATATACTTCACTTACTCAAAATGTATCATTCAACAGATTTTTTTGTTCATCATAGATCTGAGCCACCATTATCCCTTAATTCTTGTCACACTAACTGTCTGGATTCTCAACATTTCACACACACGGACTAACAGTATGTGGTCCTTCATATCTCAACCCTCTCACCATGACTGATGGTGATAGCCTGTGCTAATATTTACTTCCTTTTCATTGGTGAGTAATGCTCTACTGCCTGGCTCCCGTATGTTGTCTATGCAGTGAGTAGGTGTCTCCACTATGGAGATATCATGACCAGTGCCACCGGGATACATCGACACACAGGTCTTTGTGTGAACATGTGCTTTTGCTTCCCTTGGGCATAGATACCATTTGTAGTCATGGGGTAGCATGGTGAGTCTGTGTCTAACATTCTGAGGGAGGTAATGTTTCCTGTAGATATTTCAAATTTATAGAAAAAAAGTCATTTACTCACGTTGACTTATTGTTGCTAGAACTACATTTGATTTATAACTTTGTTGTCTGTCTGTGTGTCTCTGTGTTTATCGTGCTCAGTGTGGTGATGCTGGGTGTGATGACCCTGTATCTAGGAGAGTAAGATAGGAGGACCACAAGTTCTAGGTTAGCCTGAGCTACACAGTGAGACCCTGCCTCAAACAAAGCAACTGCATTCATACATATGTGCATATGTGAATTGTTTTGGTTTTGCTTGTTTTTTTTCCGGGATAAGGTCTCACTATATAGACCAGGATGGCTTCCAACTCACAAATGATCTGCCTGCCTCTTCCTCCCAAGTGCCAGCTGGCACAGTGTCCTGCAGCCTGGGCTTGTTTGCAGTCTCCTGGTGATGAGGCCTGGGGCCTGGTGACGACACCCCATCCTCCTTCAGGAGTCACATCTCACAATGCATCCTGGTAGTCTGAGATAGACGGCCATGTTAGCGTTGTTTAGGAGTCAGGGCAAGGGGTCAGACAGGGGTTTGGCTGGAAGGTCACTCTAGAATGCATAATCTGCGGGTCCTGTGTAAACATTCCCTTCTGAGCCCTCCCTGTAGCCTCTCCTATAACTTCTGTCTTAGTCAGGGTTTACTGCTGTGAACAGACACCATGACCAAGGCAACTCTCATAAGGACAACATTTAATTGAGACTGGCTTATAGGTTCAGAGGTTCAGTCCATTGTCATCAAGGCAGGAACATGACAGCATCCAGGCAGGCATGGTGCAGGAGGAGCTGAGAGTTTTACATCTTCATCTGAAGGCTGCTGGCAGAATACTGACTTCCAGGCAGCTTGGATGAGGATCTTCCCACACCCACAGTGATATACCTACTCCAACAAGGCCACACCTCCTAATAGTGCCACTCCCTGGCCCAAGAATATACAAACCATCAGCCCCCTCCACCCCCATCTTCTTTCTTCAACACATCTTTTTTACTGTCCTGGAAAGATGTCAATAAAACTTAGACCTATCTCAGCCTACCGCTTGGTGGCCTTTAGTGGCTGTCAACCGAAATATAGAGGTCTCACCTCTAGTCTGCACCTACCTTACTAGTGGCTGGTTCCCACCATCCTGCAGCTACCATGTTCTTCTTTACAATGTGCTTTGTCTAGGAAATTCCTATTATTGCCTGTTTGATACCCAGCTTATATATCCCCTCCAGGATGGAGTTCACAATCCCACCATGGCTCCTGCCACACCCAGGCAATGCTGTCTCTGCCAAAGTGAAACTGGAAAGGACAACAGTGGAAACTGAGAGCCAGCCAAGCTCCATTAGTGAGAGCCAGTCACACAGCCAGCCGAGCCCCATGGTTCCTGCCCTCGGTTATGAGGGGGACATAGATCCCACCAGACAGTTCTAACCATGGAGTTGTGACACGAGGCACAGGTGGTAGGATGGCTCATCTAGTGGAGATACTTGCCACCGAGCTTGATGGGTGGTACACCCACACACCCATACACATGCGTGCATGTGCTATGCGTACATCCCTAACCCCTGAGCGACACAGCTCGTTGTTCAGAGACACATACAGCACAGGTATGGCATCTTGGCTCTCTCAGGTGGCAGTTCAGAGGCTGGACATTCATTCGCATTTGTGGGAGCTCTTACCAGATTTGAAGGTGCCACCTTAGAGACACTATTTCACTGTGCACACTGCATTACCAAGCTGTTGGGACAGGACTTTGGACAGTGCCGTCATTACGAGGCTGAGTGAGTCCTAAGTCACCAGTGAGGGACAAATAGGAAGTGCTGGTGGCTGGGTTTCCAGCCACTGTTCCCACAGAGTGTCACTGACACTTTAAAAAGAACTGGGAAGTACACCCCCACTTTCTACTTTTCTAGATTTTACTTTTGTTAGAAGAGCTTGGTCTATTTTTTTTTTTTTCATAAAAGACTAGAGTGTTGGAGTCAGGAAGATGGCTCAGTGAGTAAAGGCACTTACTGTCAGGCCTGGTGACTTGAGTCTGATTCCTGGGATCCACTCAGCAGAACGAGAGAACCAATTCTCACAGGTTGTCCTCTGACCACCAGGAGTGCACCCATGTGCAGTGCATACACATACACACACCCATGTGCAGTACACCCCCCCATGTGCAGTGCATACACACACCTATGTGCAGTGCACACACACACACCTATGTGCAGTGCACACATACACCCATGTGCAGTGCACATACACACACCCATGTGCAATGCACACACAGACACACCCATGTGCATTGCACACACACACACAATAAATAAATAGATGCTTAAAAGACCACAGGGCTGAGACTGTACTGTGTCTCCCTCTCCTCAGCAGGTTTTTCTGCTTACAGTGGTGGCAAGAGAGTCAGTATTGGCCAGCCACACACTGCCCAAATAGTTCACCCAACTGTGATTGCTAAAAACAAACAGACAAACCAAGAACAACACAAACCACTCACTACATCCCTGCAGACCATGTGAGCAGATGAAGAGAAACCCAGACATCAGGATCGCGTGTGAGTGCTTGAGAGACTGTCTTCAGGACCATCTGGAAGCTGGGCGGATGTCCGGGAGGAAGGACAGTGGAGGGACCTGTGTGTAGCAACAGCCAGAGGTGGCAGGGAGGAGTCAGCAGGGGGCAGAGCCTGCCTGTCCCTTCCCTAGGCAGTGGGAGGGGGATTTTTACCTCCCTAAGAGCAACAGTTGCTTCCAAGGTTTTGAGGATAAGCAGCTTAGCTGGCAGAAGCCGGGGAAGAGTCAGCAGGCCAATGAGGCCCCAGGGCAGCAGAGCAGGACGGTGAATTGCTCCTTTTCTTTCCTAATGTAAAACACATTCTCTTTGTTTCTCTTCCATACTTCCTCGTTGATGTTAACAAGCCCCCTATTTGAAGATAATTCCAAATTTCCAGATAAATTTCAGATGAAGAATGTGGGACAGAGGGGGCTGGGAAGACGGCTCAGTGGTTAAGAGCACTGGCTGCTCTTGCAGAGGGCCTGCTTGTCCCTGACCTCTCTACATGTGCAGCCATGTGCATATATGCGGGTGCACACTCAAGTACCAGAACCAACATGAAGGCCCACAACTGCCTAACTCCAGTTTCCAGGGGATCTGAAGCCTTCTTCTGGTGTCTACTGGCACTTGGCATGCGTGTGGCACACTTACATACATGCAGACAAAACACCCTTACACATAAAATAAAAATATACAATTCTTAAAAGAATAGGGTAAAAGTTACCCATGTACCCTTTTCTCAGATTACGATTTAATACTTTTAATTATAAACATCATTTTCTCTCGGTAAAAACTTAGAAATATGTAATGGAAAAATGTCCCACTCTCCTCCCTTCCTGCCTCCTGAGGCTGCTGGTTTTGAGTTGGGAGTGTATCCTTCCATTTACCTGTCTAAGTTCTGTGCCTGGGAGATGTCCCAGGGCAGAGAACACAGCGACTGTGGAGCTGAGTTTCATATGGCATGTGGGGTCTCAGTTCTGCTTAGAGCGGAATTAAATCTGTGGCTGCTCAGGATCAGGAGTGAGATGGGAAAACCAGAGACTCCAGATGGTGTCCTGGCTCAGGCAGGTAAGGGAGCAGACGGTGCACACAGAAGGGCAGGCGAGGTTCCACACAGCTGTCTCTAGGAATGAGGGGACCCCAGAATTTCATGTTCCTTTGAAGTCAGAACGGAGGCATCTCAGTGGCAGAGGATTGAAACCATTGAGGAGGGGGTGGGTGGGGGCAAAGGGACAGTGTCCATTCAGGGCTAGGTTTGGTTGCTCTGGCTCCAGGCCCAGTAGGTTTGGGAAGCTGACAGGGTCCACCTGCCTCACTGAGTCAGAGTGGAGGGGACAGGGAGGTCACCAGGGGCCACCCGCACTGCTTCCCCAGCTCCTTGGTTAGTCTGATGGAGACGTTCAATGAGAAGGCGGAGCAGCTGGTGGAAATCCTAGAAGCTAAGGCCGACGGACAGACACCGGTGTCCATGCAGGACATGCTGACCTGTGCCACCATCGACATCCTGGCCAAGGTGATGGGTGATGCTGGCTGGTCGGGGTAGGGGTGGGGAGGCTAGGGGTCTCATCCTCCCTTCCTCCTCCTGTAGCTCAGCCGTTCCCTTCTGGGTTCTGCACAGTTTCCATACGTTTTGTCTCCTTGGTTATTAAAAGTGACCTAGTTTGAGATTGAGATTCCGACTCTGGCTCCAGAAATGCACCCTCAGAGGTACTGGGACTGGCTTCAGCTGGTCAAGGCTACTGTGGATGTTCTCTGAGGCCTGCCTGACTCCATTTTCCTCTACACTGCTGTGGTATATAGTTGGGCAGGTCACAGTAGACCTGGTAATGAGATAGCACACCGCCTATCTGGAGGCAGCCAGTGGAGTCACGGACAGGGCACTGGGGTGTGGATGTGCACCCCTGGGGAAGGCTGCAGCTCAGGGAGAAACGGCGTTGGGCCAGGGAGGAGGCAGAAGTTCAGGACTCTTCATGGGGCACTGTCAGGTGTGGGCGACACAGAGCAAGGCCCAGATCTCCAGCCGCCTGTGTGAGGCTCTGTGCTGCACCCCCTCCCCACTCCTGTGTCTCCAGGTTTGACTTCAGGTTTCTCTCCCACAGGCAGCTTTCGGGATGGAGACCAGTATGCTCCTGGGCGCCCAGAAACCGCTGTCCCAGGCAGTGAAAGTGATGCTGGAGGGTATCAGTGCGTCCCGTAACACCCTGGCGAAGGTACTGCCTGCCCTTCCCCGGCGACCCCATTGTGTTTGTGCCTCTGCACGTGCCGAAGCGCCTCCTTCAGTGACTCCTTTCAGAGTGGGTTTTGTGTGCCAGTGTGTCCGGAATGACTTCCAAACCTACATTTGCATGCCCTACCTAAGAGCGGAAGGACATAATCAGAGAGACGTGATGTAAGTCAGGAGTTAACTTTTGTCTTGTGTTACACAATCCCCAAAGCAGGCATTCTAGGGTGCTGTGATGACTCCACCGGGTCAGATGTTCTGGATTCTTCTGTCTTTGTGTTCCACTGTCCTCAGCACATCACCTCATTGTCATAAGATGGCTGTTGTAGCTCCAGCTATCACTTGCTTATTCCAGACATGAAGAAGAAGAAAGGGGAAAGGTGATTCCTGAGCCAATCTCCGGTTCCCTTCTGTTCCTGGGGCCTTCAGTCTATGAGCTTGCAGCCCCAGACGCCACCCCATCTTTTCAGCCATTGACTCTACTTCACTTGGCTCTGGCCCCGACTTCTCCTTCCCGACGCAGCCCTAACTGTCTCCCTCCTTTAGGGGCCCTTTCTTCCCAGTGCTGCATGGAGGCAGAAGGGCTCTCTTCCCATCCTTTCTAGGGATTTGGTGCAGGAGGGGGAAGCTCATGCTCGGACTCAGTCCGCCATCTTGTTCTGGTCTGCCTGGCTGCTTGATCTTTTCTAGAATTTTCTCACGTTCTCCCCAGCACGCTGCTGTATGGATTTCCGGGTGGGGCCTGGGGTGGAGCCTGGGGAGGGAATTGGGGACCTTAAGGGCCGCCTTGAGCTGGGGCTCTCCTTCAGTTCATGCCAGGGAAGAGGAAGCAGCTTCGGGAGGTCCGGGAGAGCATCCGTCTGCTGCGCCAGGTGGGGAAGGATTGGGTGCAGCGCCGCCGCGAGGCCCTGAAGAGGGGCGAGGACGTGCCCGCCGACATCCTCACACAGATTCTCAAAGGTGCGGGGTCACGTGGGGCACCCAGGAGCAGGGCTGGGCGGGCTTGGGATGCTCCCGTCCCACAATCCAAGGCTCCCCACCATTGGCTCTGCTCCGGAGAAAACGATGCTGGATGAGCCGGTGGCCTGGGAGCCAGGGCTGCTGTGTCGCTGAGCGTGCCCTTGCCTTTCAGCTGAAGAGGGAGCCCAGGACGATGAGGTTCTGCTGGACAACTTTGTTACCTTCTTCATTGCGGGTGCGTAGTTTGTGGTGTGGTTGTCTCAAGCTTTGCTCGGGGCACCTTAATCCTGACTTACTTAGCTCAAGGGTTGTCTAAGCCTAGCTCCCCGCAGGTCCCAGGGAGGAGGGAGCTAGACTTCTTGCTGTCCTTGTGACCTGGCTACTGGTTGGGCTGTTTGGGAAGCTTGCTTCTTTGGCTCAGAAGAGCTTGGCTGTAAATTTTGGGTTCCCCCATTTCAGATTTATTAGCTTGGTATAAGTATGTGCCAATAGCGTTCATTCACCTGTTAATCTCCTGAGTAATAGCACTCAGAAAGCCCCTCCTCTCTAGCAATCTGGCAGATACCTCCTCCTCATGGATGCCCTCAGTGATTGCCCACTGAGCACATTTTGGACCAAGTAGAAGCCATCCTCATGTCCGGAGAGTCCCCTCTGGCCGCTCCTCTTGATCTGAGGCTATATTTATCTGAGTTGATTTGGTGAGGGCTCTCTCCCCAACCACAAAAGCAAGGCTGCATAGTCTGGACACTCCCATGGTCCTGTGCAGCAGGGACCCCGACAGATGGGACAAGATGAACGAATGCTAAGAGGGTACAGGTGAACATCGGAGGGACAAGTCAAGGTCCCTTGGCAGGAGTGGACAGACACTTTCTGTCAGCCTACCACATGGATGAGACGTGTCCAGGTGGGCAGAAGCCATACAGAGAGCACGTTAGAGCTGCACTGCAGGACGCCCTCCTCACACAGGATCAAAGTGTCTCTGAGGACTGAGGAATTGCTTGCCATCCAAGCATGAAGAACCCATTCAGAGCTACAGCACCCACGTAAAAGGCTGGGTGCAGTGGTATTCACCCAAATCCCTGTGCAGAGGGAGGAGACGGGGATCCCTGGGGCTCACTGGTCAGCCAGTCTAGTCACTGAGCTCCAGGCCCATGAGAGACCCTGCCTCACAAAACAAGGTGGGTGAGTCCCTAGGAATGACCCCTGAGATTGACCTCTGGTCTGCATACATGCACACACAGATGCATGTGCGCCCCCATGCACACCTATGGGCATGTGTTCCCCATATACACTCACAAAGAGAAAAACAAGCACTAAACCAGGTCTGAATGGAGCCAGATCCGGTGTGGGAGGCCCAGAGAGCCTGAAGCGCTCTCTCTCTCTCTCTCTCTCTCTCTCTCTCTCACACACACACACACACACACACACACACTCCTTTGCCAGCTGGGACTGTTTCTGTTCCCTGGGCTCCCCACCTGTCCTCCAGTGAGCATTCCTTCCCCTCCTCACAGCCCACCCTAAGCCTGTGTGAAGCCAGGGCCCAGGAGGGCATGCTCTGCTGCTCATACCTCAGACAGCCCAGGGCCAGCCTGGCCACGCCTGAGCTGACCTGGCTGAGAGATTCTAGGAACAGGTGGCCTCACCTCCCTGGGCCAGCAGGCGGTGAGATGGCTTGGCTGGTCACTCGTGGCTACCTGCTGCACCGTTTGCCCCTCTCAGGTGTTTTCACGCATCCGAGCAATTCCCCAGTCCTCAGAGCTGCTTTGGATCTTTGTGAGGAGGGTACCCTGCAATGCAGCTCTAACGTGCTCTCTGTATGGCTTCTGCTCACCTGGACACGTCTCATCCATGTGGCAGGCTCCTGTGTGACAGAACGTGTCTGTCCACTCCTGCCAAGGGACCTTGGCTCGTCCCTTTCAGTGACCCTCCCTGCAGCCAGGTCACCCTGGAAGTTTGATCCTATTGATTTGATGGCACCCTGCCTGATCTCTGAGAGGCCTTTGGTTGGGTGGTCTCCTGTCAGTCCCTGCTGACCTCAGACTTAGATTCACCCGCCTCTGCCTCCTAAGTGCTGGGATTAAAGGTGTGGGACAAGTAGCACAAGTCTTTGTCTTTTCTTTCCTGTAATAGAGGACCACTGTGTGGAGGACGGAAGGATGCTCTCAGAGCATCTCAGTAGAGGCATGGGCAGGCTTACTCAATCACTGAGATGGCACAGGTAGAGGTAGAGATGGTAGAGGGATGGCACAGACAGACAGACAGACAGACAGACAGACAGACAGACAGACCATCTCCTTAATATCACAGCCATGGGAGGAGGGAGGGAAGATGTGGACTCTCAGATAGATGCTACCAAGAAGCTGGGTGGCAGGGCAGGGCAGGGCGTGGACAGCCCCTGCAGTCTCACCCAGAGTGCTCCTTCTTCTTTCAGGTCATGAGACTTCCGCCAACCATCTGGCGTTCACAGTGATGGAGCTGTCTCGCCAGCCGGAGATCGTGGCAAGGTATGAATGCTGCCCTTGGGACCAGCAAAGGGCTTTTCTCGTGTCTTTCCAAGAGCTACCTGTCCCCACATGCCATGGCTGGGACTCTCCAATGGACCCTGTTTCCTTTTACCCCAGGGCCTTTGTACTTGCTTCCTGGCCTAGAGGCCCTACTCTCTGATTTTCTTCTGGAGAAAGTGTTTTCCTTCACAAAAGGAATCTGGGAACCCTGACAAAGCCATCACCCCCCCCCCAACTGTCCTAGTCCAGCAATGTTTCCCCTGGGGCACTGTTGGCCCTGAGTCTTTGTTTTCTAAGGGAGACCAAGTATTTTGGGCTAGTAAGAACTGTCTCATTTCATTCCCCTGTGTACAGAGCAGCCCAAGTGTGACCGACTACCAGCCCTTACATGGCAGGACCTAGGAGGGTAGTGGGGTGGGGGGATGGAACACAGCACCTGAGCTGGTCAGGTCCTAACTGGCTTCCTTTGCTTGGCACCCTCAGGAGTGTCAGAGAGCAGACAGGACCAAGCTCAGAGGCCATGACCATGCATGGAGTTGTAGAAACTCTTGGGATGGGGAACAAGCCTGTTATAAGCAATGGTGGTCACCAGCAGGAAGGTTAGAATGAGAGATGGCATGAGAGGATAAAATAGCTTGTTGGAGAGGTGGCTCAGTGGTTAGACCACTGGCTCATCTTCCAGAGGACTCAGGTTTGATTTCCAGCACCCCCATGGTGGCTTTCAACCATTTTGACTCTAATTTCAAGGGGTCCAGTGCCCTCTCCTGGTCTCTGTGGGCATTGCATGCCTGTGGCACACAGACATTCCCACAGGCAAAACACCAATACACTCATAATTTTAAAAATAGCTTGTTGGATTTTAAGTAAACACATGTGTGTCAATACATGTGGGTATAGATATGCTAGAACTGTGTGCAACTTCGTTGCAGATTGGGGTGTTGGTTAGTGGTAGAGCACCTGCCTAGCGTGCACAGGTCCACGCTCCATCCCAGACACTAGGAAAATATGTCATATTTGAACTATTTTTAAATTCAAAGTCCAAAGACACTAAGCACGTTGACCCTGTGGTACAAGGCTGGCCATCACCTCACCCCAGGGCCGTTTTATCTCTCCGACTCCAAACAGTGCCCTGCTAAACAGCCCTCTCCCGCCCCTCCGTATCCTGATCTGTCGAGGTACCTGTTGAGAATAGCATCGGCCGGGTTACGTTAACTCAACATAGGGCCCTCAAGGCTCGTGACTGTTGGAGCCCAGTCAGAACTGCCTTCCTGTCTGAAAGTCTAGATCTGGCTCTGTCATGGTGGCTTCTCAGGACAGGGGTGACATTCAGGCAGCTTCCGTCCCTCGTCTCCCGCTCAGTTGCAGCGATTATGAGTACGGGTGTGCAGCTCCACCTTCAGAGACCGCGGGTTACACGCTGGGGTAGAATCACCAGACAATAACTCTGATATAACTCTGCTTTTAACCTTGTGGGAGCTATCACCCCGCTTTCCACAGCAGCCGCACAGCTTTCTGTCCTCATCCATAGTACACCCGTGTCCTGGTCCCTCCATGCCCCCACATTACTGGCTATTCCCCAGCCTTTCTGTTTTCTTTTCCTCACTGCCATGCTGATGGGTGAAGTGGTCCAGAGCCACTCTGAGGTGACGGCGGCCTCTCTGGCCCATTCTTGCTGTACCTGCTGTCAGTCTACCGTGCTGTGCATCAAAGGCCCAGCATCAAAGTATTAAAGGCTATGTATGTGGGACATCTTTCCTAAGGTTGAATTCGAGCAATAAACAAGGATGGCTATTTTAAGGTTCCAGGAACATGGTTCCTTTCTGCTGTTAGAGGTGGCCTGTCTGGGATGCAGCTGCCTTTCCTAAGGGGGCAGGCAATGTGTGCTCGTGGGAACCCCATGCCTTGTTCTTCAATCTCATACCACCCGGCACCTTAAAGTGCTTCGGGCAGAGGTTTCTCTCCAAGGCGAGCTTCTCTGTCTTACCTGGCAGGCTGCAGGCCGAGGTGGATGAGGTTCTTGGTTCCAAGCGGCACCTGGACTACGAGGATCTGGGGAGACTGCAGTACCTGTCGCAGGTGTGCAGTGTGGGTGAGACACCTCTGGGCAGATGTGGAGAGTTGGGGTTGCTGCCCCACTGGGTCCTCCTTGGAGCCCAGGCTCCTCTGGATTCAATCAGCAGGATGGAGAGATCCTCCGACCCTCAAGCATGCAGCCGGGGTTGGAAAGTGGTCCTTTAGCAAATGTGGCTGCAACTGGACTTCAGGCAAAGCCCGGCTGCAAAGCCTTTCTCCTAGCAGCTGGCTCAGGAGGCACCTCTCATTCAGCCAAGCGCAAGGCTCCCCTATGCTCCAGGCTGCTGTCTCTAGGAGGGGAGGGGCCCTGCCTTCTGGTCCCAGTGTTGCCCCTGCGTCCTGGATAGTGCCCCTCTCCTTTAGACTTCAGTCTCCTTTGGTCACACGAGGGGTAGATTCTACAGCGAGCCTGATGATCTGGGAATCTGAGCCGTCCTGGGACAGGGTGTTCAGTGGGAATGGGATGGGGACCAAGCACACTGCAACTGGCCTTGGTCTCTTCTGATGTCTCAACCACCTTCTGGCATGTCTTCTGTAGGTCCTCAAAGAGTCTCTGAGGCTGTACCCGCCAGCGTGGGGCACCTTCCGCCTGCTGGAGGAGGAGACCTTGATTGATGGGGTCAGAGTCCCTGGCAACACTCCTCTCCTGGTGCGTGGGGCCCTCACGTGGGCTGGCCTGTTTGTCTCCAGGGTGGTCAAGCTGAGACTCTCCCTGAGGTCAGGGAAGCCATGTGCCTCCTACTATCATGACACTCAATTTCCTGGCTGCCTTGGGTTTGTTTGCCTCAGTTTCCCCGTGACCCTGCCAGGCCCTCTCCTCCCTTCACACTTCCAGCCAAAGACCCCGGCAGACAGGTCTAGAAAGTATTCCACACACAGCTGCACACACTGAGGCTTAGCCACTTTCCTGGGCTCCAGATGGCAAGAGGGAGACATGGGGTATTCTTGGAGTTACCCCGACCTCATTTTTTTCCTCTGTGTGTGTGTCCACCTGACTTACTGACTCCAGTCTCTCTGACCACCTAGCTCTGGGGATTTGTCTCTGCCTCCTGAGGCTGGAGATGTGGCAGGGCGGCCATACTCACCGGGAGTTTTAAGTGGGTTTTGGAGGCTCTGAACTCTGGTCCTCATGCTTCTGTAGCAAGCCACTGGACCATCTCCCCAGTCTTTGCCCCCTGCCCCATTTTCTTAGCTCTCCTCCCTCCTTGCTGCCCTGCCTCACTCTGCGCTGGACCTGTTGCATCCAGCTAGGCTGTGTGCGGTTCTGTTGTGTAGACTTCACTCACCCACTCACTGGACTTACTGGCCTCTGAGACCCCTCACCCGTCTCTGCGTGCCAGTCACCCGTCCCCAGGAGTAATCGATGTCCTCAGTTTAGCATCTGCCACCGCCTTGCCTCTGTATGGGGAAGGGGTGGAGCCCAAGTGGACACACCCGCTTAATGCCATTCCTGGCAGTGCTCAGCCATAGGCACAGCAGAACTGCCACTGAGTAGTGAAGAGTTGAGTAGCAAGTCAGGATGAGGGTACACGCAAGGCCTCATGTAGAGAAGAGGTACCACCTCTGCCCCAGCCTCAGGTTCCTGTGAGCCTGGCTCACCCTTGCATGGTAGTGGATGATGGGAACCAAAGTCAGTCTGTTTGTATGCACAGGACAATGCTCAGCAAATACCCCTGGTTCACCCTGCTCCTCACCCATGCCCAGCATGTCCTCTTGCTTTCCCAGCAGCTCCAGGCCGCTGCTGTCACGGGGATGTGAGGTGGGCAGGCTCAGCACGGCCAGTGCCCATAGCCCAGTTAGGGGGCACATCGCTTTTCCACGGCTAGGCACATAGGCCTTGAAGACCCAGGGCGTAGGAGGGGTTATCAGCTCCCTCAGGAGGCCCCTTGGGTCAGGCGAAGGTGGTGGGGCGACAGCTTCCCTAGCTTCTGCCTTGAAGGCTGAAGTGAGCCTGAGGTGAAGGAGGGGCCAGCCTCCAGCACCCGGCCTCAGTCTGTGGCCACTTAGTTGCTGGGTGACTTCAGGTAAGTTTCTGAGCCCTGTTGTCTCATCTGTAAAACAGGGGTCACTGTGGCTGCTACAGGGCTGTGTCAGGCAGGGGATGACACAGCACAGCACACCCTGGTGGTAGTGGACATATCAGTGTCCCCTCTCTTCCTCTTTGAGGTTTTCCAGGGGGGCTGTGGAATGTCACACCTATGTAATAGGTAGAAAGGTGCTGTGTTCCACCTCACCCCCAGGGGGGCTGCAATGGGTTGGGGGGTAGAAGCCTGAGAACCAGAGACACCAGCTCCTTTGCCCGGCAGTTCAGCACCTATGTCATGGGGAGGATGGACACCTACTTTGAAGACCCACTGACCTTCAACCCTGACCGCTTTGGCCCTGGAGCGCCCAAGTAAGTCCGTCCTTGAGCCGTAATGACATAGGGTCTGTGGGTGAAGCATCATCACAGAGGCCTCTGGACCGAGCTACCTGTACCCACAGGACTCTAGAGCCCCAGGAGGGGGTGTGGCCACCATCACATCACAGCTCACTTGTTCTCTTAAGTTCCTGTTCTGTTGCTGGGATACAAACTCTGACAGTGTTGACTTTGTCAGGGGGAAAGGGGTTGGTTTAGCTCACAGTTTGAGAGAGGATAGGCTGTGGCTATGCCAGTGCTTACTTCGCCCTCTCCATCTTACCGAGGGCATCACCCAGGATGCCCTGCCCAAAGGTTGGGCCATGCACAGTGGGCAGGGCTTCCCACTCAATACTGTAATCAAGATAATGGTCTCCAGGCACGTCTCCTCCCAGCTTCTAGACTCTGCCGAGTTGATGAGCAACACTGTCTCACTTGCCCGAGGGGCAGAGCTCAGCAGTTTTGTGAGGATGGCTCAAAGCTGGTCATGGGAGGGGAGAGTGGTGTGGACACCCTGCTCCTTGTACTGACCCTGAAGGGCCTCTCTCCTGCAGGCCACGGTTCACCTACTTCCCCTTTTCCCTGGGCCACCGGTCCTGCATCGGGCAGCAGTTTGCTCAGGTAGAGGGTGTGTTGCTCAGGGTCTCCGAGAAATGACTGCAGGGTGGGGCCGGGTGGGGGGCCTTGGGGAAGTTGTGGGGAGGGCTAGGAGCTGGGGGCCGGGGCTGAGCATGCCTATCAGGAGAACAAGAAAAGAGAATCTGCATGTCTCTAACACCTCTCTCACTCCCTGTGTCTACCCTCATTTCCTACCCTCCTTCATTATGTCTTCACTGTTTCCCTCCTCCCTCCCCTCCCTTCCTCTCCCCTCCCTCCTCCTTCTCTCCCTCCCCCACAGATGGAGGTGAAGGTTGTCATGGCAAAGCTGCTTCAGAGGCTGGAGTTCCGGCTGGTGCCTGGGCAGCGCTTTGGGCTGCAAGAGCAGGCTACGCTCAAGCCACTGGACCCGGTGCTGTGCACCCTGAGGCCCCGGGGCTGGCAGCCTGCACCCCCACCTCCTCCCTGCTGAGCCCTGGGTAGGGTCAGATTCCTTGGACCAGGGCCTCACTGGCCCCCATCGCTGCCCATGGCCACCCACTGGCGCCCCTGACCCTTCTGCCACCGTCCACGATGGCTCCTGGTGGGCCCTGTCCCCTCGCCTGCTTCCCACCCTCAGTGCTTCCTGTCATCCTCCGGCTTTTCAGCTCTTTCTGGTGGGCCCTGCCTGACTCCCAGCTACCACCACCACCATCACCGTTTCTCCCAAACCTCTGAACTTCTGCACTGGCTACACCCCCAAAAAAGACACCCTAACTCTTGCTCACTCCCTAAACTCTTCAAGTGACACGTCCCCCAGGAAGCCCTCCTTGCTACCCAAGGCCAGGCCAGGGTCTCTCCTCTGTGCTCCTACCTCTAACACACTGACCACACTGTATTGTGAATGTCTGCTCATGTGAACAGCTGCCCTGGCAGGCTGTGAGTGCCACAGGGCAGGGTCTGTGTGCACTTTGCCTCCGAGCCCCCTGTTGCTAACGAGGGTCTGGAACAGAGTCGATACCCAATAAATGTGTGTTGACTGCATGAATGGCCGGCCTCCCAGGCCATGATCCTTTCCTTCCTTCTGGGTGCAGGGTGGGATGATTGGGTTGATGCCTGGGGGCTGGTACAGCTCTAGGAGCTGCCTGCTTACAGATGGTCCTGGAGGTGCCAGACAGACAGACTCTAGCAGAAACCAGTTTCTTATACTTAAACTCTGTACAGCAGGGCGCCGTGCAGCTCTGGGATTACAGGAGGGGTCCTGGCATGGAGAACTTGATTTGATGTGTGTGTGTGTGTGTGTGTGTGTGTGTGTGTGTGTGTATTTGACCTAGGCACCCATAACTGCCTCACACATGCCCACACTTGTGGGCAATGTTGTACACAATGACCTACTCAGAGGAGGCTCTTGGTGGCCCTGGGGTCAGGGGAACGGCAGACCTTAAGGTAGAGAGAGCCCTGGGGGGCCATGTGCTCTGGGGCCAGTCCAGAGGGCATGGTCCTAGCTCCTCCTTCCCCATTGGGAGCCTGAGTCAGAAACAAGGTTCTCTTCCTCGGCAAGGCCCCTTCTCCACAAGAGGGGAAGGGTGGAGCTGTGAGGACCTTCAGCCTACGTCTTCAGTCTCTATTGTCTTCAGTCTCCCTTGGTCTTGAGCAGTCTTGAATTTCCTAAGGAAGGGATGAAGTCAAAACTTAGGGAAGGAGGTGATTTGCCCTGCACAGCTGGGGCCTGGGGGGTGTAGCAGGGAACAGGGGAGCATGCGCCTGGGCTCCTGGCCTGTCCTTGTCCCAGCCCAGGTTGCCTTGTACAAGTACTTTGGTGATGCCTTCTGGGCAAGGGCTTGGGGATGCCTCTGGGGCTCCAGGCTGGGTTCCTGTTAGACTTCCTCCTGTCTCTCTGGTGCGCTAGCAAGGCTGGCCTGTGTTTTACAGGCAAAGCTACCCTGACTTGTCGGTGCCCCTAGCAGCCCTTTTTTCCATAACCATTTTGCAGGACACGGTCTCTCACGTTGCCCTCAGCCTTGCCCTGCTTCTGCCCTGCTCTGACTCCCACCTCGACCTCCACCCCCACCCGAGGCACCTCTGAAGCTCACCAGCCTCCACTTTCTGCCACGGCTGGGCCTGACCCCACAGGAGAGCTCCCCCTCAGCACCCACCCTGAAGGGTAGAGAGGCATTGTGCGTCTGCGCTGTAAGGGTACAACCTGGCCTCTGGAGGAGCGACTTCTTTCAGAAACGTCCAATTGCCCATGTTGGACTGGTAATGGCTGAGCCCAAGACTTCACTTCCTTCTTGCCCCAAATCCTCCCAGGGGACAGGACATGGAAAAGTCAAGGTCACAGTCGTGATGGGACGAGGACTCACTCATGGATCTTCATACCCGGTGGCCTGTCACTCCAGGCTTGAGTCAGAGCCAGATCTCTGTGCTGGAACCTAAAGGAGGGAGAGAGAGAGGACAGGAAGACCCTCGGCTAGCTCCTTTAGGGTTGGGGCCCTACCGAGACCTCCTGAACCACTTCCTGCGAGGGGCGGAGCTCCGAGTCCAGCAGAGGTCAAATCCTGACCTCATTTGTCACTGGCTTTGCAGCTTGAACTTCAGTTTCCTCGTCCAGAGGGAGGGCGGGTAACAGGACTCCCTTCTCTGGGCTGGTGGAGCAGCTACCTGTGATCATGAGTGGGGTAGAGCATCACACAGAGCCTGGAAGTCCCTTCCTGCTGGCTGTCATTAACGTCTTTATTGCTTGCTCTTAGTAGGGGAAGGCAGGCTTAGGAAAGACCTGCAGTCCTCAGAGGGACCACATGGGGCCGCTCTGGAGCAGCTCTGGAATGGCCTGCTCACCACCTGCGCCTCCTTCACCCTGTTGGGTGCCTGGGTTTGGGAGGCATCAACTCAGGCTCTTGCTGGCCCTCGGTTTTCAATACTTTTCCTAGAGATGGACCTGGACTGTGGGATGCTAGGCAGGGGAAAACCTTATGTCAAGAGCCAGGTGGGACTCAGACCACAGATGGGAATCACTGATCCGAAATGCACAAAGGAGAGAAGGGTGGGTGCAGGCTATCTCATGCTACTTGTGATGCCCTCCCCAGGGACTCTGGAAGGTTGCTTTCTCCTTGCCTGCCTGCCTGCCTGCCTGCCTCTAGGCAATGGTAACCTTTTCTGAAAAATTCTTCCTTTGTAAACTTGGACACAAGAATGTGGGGAGGACATGGGCTCTGAATCTGTACTCTCCCCTGGCAGGAAGCTTCCAGTATTCATGGTCTTGGGCATGCAGTTTATAGTCCTCCTTCTGGGCTTGAGACCCTTTAATAGTGGGTCTCTCCAGATCCCAAGCAGTCAGAGCAGTTACCTCTGTAGGAAGCATGCTGGGAATTCTCACTGTCAGGGGTAAGGTGTGGGTTCTGATTCTCCAAGGGGGGAGTCCAAAAAGAGGTTGGGGATTCTACTGGATGCTGGCTCACTGGGAAGCACCCACCTTTCTGTGTTCCATTCCCCACTGTCCCCAGGGAGCTAGGCATGGGTGAGAGTCGGGAAGAGCTGCGACAGGACCATTATGTCCGTCCAGGTGGCCACCCATGCTCCTGGGTTTATCTTGGGTGGGATAGGGTGGGAGTCAGAGGACCCATCTCTGCTTTTACTCCCTTCTCAGTCCATGGCTGGGGTTAGCCATGAGTACAGTCTGTGGCCAAGACCTTTGCTGGCCCTAGTACCAGGGCAAGGGCCTGTCTCTGTGTGAGAGACCCCAGGGAGGCCATTAGTAGAGGCAGCCTTGGTGGATGGGAACACACATCTCCTCCCTGAATGCAAGAATTCCCAGTGTGCCTCCTGCAGAGGTAGCCCCTCTGTCTGCTTGGGGGCTGGAGTGGCTCACTATTAAAGGGTCTCAAGTGGCAGCCACCAACATTAGCATGCTTGGATTCAGCTTCCATGGAAAGCACATGAAGACCCAGTTCTATAGATACATCTTAAGGGGGCTTTCCCTGTCACAGGGCCCAAGGCAGGGTAGGGGCCTCAGCATCCAGGGGCCTTGTCCAGGACAGGAAGCCTTCCCATGAGCCTCTTCCTGTTTTCACCACAAGGTAGAGTTCCTAGGGCCCTAAACCAGGTGTGAGGGCTTTGACCTGAGGAGCCTCAGGTTGCTTCTCCTCCCACCAGGGACACTAGAGCAGCCAGACTGGCCTGTTTGGCCTCTCTCCTGACCTGGAGTCTGGAGGCCGCCCAGGGAGTGTTTTACTTGTATTCGGGCCTGAGCCAGGGTTGCTGGGTGTGCAGAATTAATTTCCAGAACTGTGCTGGAGCACATAGGGGTGTGTGTGTGTGTGTGTTTGCATGTGCCTGTGTATTTCCCAAGTGCATCTGCTCTCTGAGTTTGAGTATGAGTTCCATGTATATAAACCCCATGTATGTGAAGCCTGTGTGTGTGTAAGCCCTGTGAGTATACATTTGTGTCTGCTTGGATCCCTCAGAATCTCTGTATGCTCTCATAGTCTCCTCTTTGCATGATGCATGTGAGTCAGTCTCTCTCTCTCTCTCTCTCTCTCTCTCTCTCTCTCTCTCTCTCTCTGTGTGTGTGTGTGTGTGTGTGTGTGTGTGTGTGTGTGTGAGGCTGTGTGCAGCTGGGTGTGTCTGACCTTATCCTATCTGGAGGAGGTGTCTGTTTGAATCAGAGTTTGTGGAACACGTGATAATCACCGCCTGGGTTAGGCCTTAGTCAGGCAGCCTTCCTTCTAAGCTCAGCCCACATACAGAGGCCAGGCCTCCTCCACAAGGCCACCTGCTCAGGAAGTTCTGCTCAGTGTAGACATGGGCCAGTTTCCAGTTCTCACCCACTGAGGTACCAGGGGAGGCTGTCTAATCTCCCACCCATGATCAAGGGAGAAGCGTGTCTCTAGAAAGGAGTCCCTGGACTCCCAAGGCCTGGCCAGGCCAGATGACCCATGGGAAGTGAGTGCCAGCAGAGGGAGAGAGGATAGGAAGCAGGCATCCACTCTGATCATGTCACCTAGACTCCAGGCTCCGGGCTGGGCCCCACTGATGTCCAATAAATACATGGGCCTTTATACCCAATTCTCTTGCAAAAGCCCCAACTCGGCTGACATCTCTCACCCCACCTGTACCTTTAATTTTTTTTCAAAACCTATTTTTAATGATGATTCTTAAGTGATTTAGCCTCCCTTGTAGCCCACCACCCACCAGAGGTAGTGGGAAAGAAAGGATACAGGGGGAGTGGACCTGTTTAGAAAGGTTCTTTGGAGAAATCCCATCTGTGTTGTCTGGAAATCGGCAGTTCAGGTCACAGGTCAACAGCGGCAACTCCATCCACTCGCAAACATTTAATGGATACACCAGCAGTCCAGTTTGGCAGAGTCTAGATAGCAAACTGGAATCAGCAGCAGTGGCACTACCCAGCAGAGACAGCCAGGCCTCAGCCTCGGCACAAGTCAGCAGGAGGGACTCTGAGGAACACCAGGAGAAGTTCTCGGCTGTGCCTCTCTCAGGGGAGCAAAGATCAGCGGAGACTGGAGACCCACAAGCTTTGCACAGCTAGCTCTACAAGCAAGCCAAGCTCAGCCCCATCACTGTCTGTGGAGTCCCTTGTATACGCCCTCCAAACATCACGTGTCCTCACGGGTCTTGCCTTAGCACGTGCGTCTGTCTCAGCTGACGTCACTCTGCCAATCAGCCCGAGTCCTCAGAAGTGACAAAAAAGCCAGCACACCACCAGAAGTTTTTGAGTGCATTTCTCTCTATGGAGTCCCGACAAATGCAGCTCAGCTACATAACGTAAGACAGACCAATACACCCGTGTCCTTAGCAAAGAATCCTTCATCACGTGTCCTTTCACGTGCTTGCTTTAGCAGAACATCTTTTCACCTGTGTCTGCTTCAGCTAAATGTTCCTTCACGAGTCTGCCTTAGCCTTTCACCTGTGTCCACTTCAGGAAAACACCATCCAACACAACTGACTTTCCAAAGGACCCTTAAGTTTCTACTTTACCACCAGCCAATCTGCAGCCATTCTTGGGGTGCCGTGAGCTCTTTCTCAT